TCCGGAAAGATAATGCCGGAAAAGGAAAATAAAAACAGAGCGTTACCACCATGTAAGTGGATACGGGCTGCTGTGTAATGCAGAAAAGGTATAACAATAGTGATGGTAGGGAAATATCAGTGGGGAGAAAAAGGGGCACTTTCTTTAAAAGGTCCATAGGAAAAGGATCGAAAAATCAATAAATTATAGCCTGAATGTAGAAATAACAGCAGAGTGTAATTTGGTTCCTGTAAGCAAAACCAAAGGGAAAACGGGGAGAACCGAAGCTCCCCCCCGATTCCCCCATGAGCCGGTAAAATTCCCACTGAAAATGCCATGATTGGCAATGAAAAAAGAACTTGAAATCCGCAGAAAGGTTTTCCTACGGATTTGAAGGTTAAAAAAGTCCATGCGGAGGCAGTGGAAAATGTTAAAGCAGCAAAGGGAAACGGTGCCAAAGAAAGGATTTGCGCAGATGGAGCAAGGAGAAGAAAAAGGGGAAGGTGGTCAGGTCCATTGGGGTTTGGTCTCTGCAAATATTCAGAGATTGCTTAAGTTTTTTTGGGAATTCAGAGATGTCGTATGGGAGAAAAATTTTTGGGGAATGGTGGGGGGAGGATAGTAAAGTTTGGGAAAATGTATTGGACTGTCCCAAGGGGGGGGGGGCGAAAGGGGGAGGGAACGGAAAGCGTGGAAGGGGAAGAAGGCAGGAACCGGGAGGGGGCAGAAGAGAAAAAATTTGGGGGAGGGAAAGGGGGGGAAAGGTACATTACGAGGAGGAGGTGAACCCTGCACTTTAACTGAGCCATGAGAGGGAAGAACAGGGACAGAGACAGGGAGGGAAAAAATGAGGAGGTGGAAGATGGGTAAGGTGTTCCCGGGACCTTTTTTTGACTTTTAAAAGTAGGGGACGATTGGGAGGAGGTTGTACAGGTCTCGTCGTATGGGGGCTTGTGAGAGAGAATTTTTTTTTTTCGAAGGAACCCCGGAAAAAAAAATTTAGACTGAGGCGTTTGAAGTAGGGACTTTGACCCGAGGACAGCAAAAGGATTAAATAAGGATGATTAGGGGAAAGGGGTAACCACAGGGGGGGTGTAGAAGAGGGGATCCCAAAGTGGGGGACTTTTTGAAACACGGGAATAAAAAACACAGGGAGTCCCCCTTGGGGGCGGAATGAGAAACGCATGGCATAAGGGAGACCTTTCTGTCTCTTTGAGGAAAGGATTTCCCGCTCGTTTAAAAGACCTGACAACGGCGAGAGTACGAAGGGTGAGCCTCATACAGTTAAGGCAAAGGAGATCGATTGCAAACTTTTTAGAATGGTCTCGGCACCACAGACTGGAAATTCGGCGAAAAGTTTGCAATATTTCGGGGAGGCCAAATCGCCAGCAATTTCTACACTGTTGTGGTGTAGGGATCACCTTTCGAATTTGAAACCCGTGCCCTGCTATAAAAATGAGGTGGGAGTTTTCGGCTTCAAAATTAAACGGCCCCATTTCTAGGGGATCGTTCCGCCCCCGGGCAGGAAAAAACGTAAGTGTCTACCCTTGGGGTTGGGGGTCTTGGAGTTCCCGCTGTTTTAGAATTTGGCAAAGTTGGAAATTTGTTGAACTATGGTATGGCAGAATGACGGTACCACTACAAGAATTGAGGGGAAAGATGTTTTTCAAAATGACAGGAAAAGATCGTAGGGAAAAACAGGAGTCATGACCTGGGAGATTCTGTACGGTAATGATCGCGTACCGCTCTTAAAAGCATGAAAAAAAATCTTTACCAACATGGCAGGAGTGCCTTGCCCAAAATAGGTAGAAAGATAGGGAGTAGGAAGTTGGTCGTAAAGTGAAGAATTTTGTCCACTGTTCTCTGAAATGAGCGTGGGAAAGGTAGTAAAGGGAAATGTCGTCGTTTTCTGAGAAGAACGAGAAGGGGGAAAGTACATCACAGGGAATTGGAGTTGGGTTTAGGCGGGACCAGAGTTTTGGGGCCACGGGAACGGGTCGCATTTGAAAATTCCGCACCGAAGGGGGAAAGGCCGGAAGCATAGTCAGAGGAAGCGAAGGCCGATAAATCGAAAGAGTCAGTCGAGGCCTCTACCTAAGCGGGTGAGGAAACACACCCGGCAAAAG